GAGTGTGTGCACGGCCGGAGCTCCTCCCAAATACACATTCAGCGTGAGTGTGTGCACGGCCGGAGCTCCTGCCACAGTCGGTCTCGCTGTTGTCTTTCAGGTTAGCAAAGTGGAACGCGAGAAAAACCAGGAGCTGCGGCAGGTGCGCGAGCATGAGCAGCACAAGACTGCGGTCTTGCTCACGGAGCTCAAGACGAAGCTGCACGAGGAGAAGATGAAGGAGCTACAGGCCGTGCGTGAGACGCTGCTGCGGCAGCATGAAGCCGAGCTGCTCAGGGTCATCAAGATCAAGGACAACGAGAACCAGCGGCTGCAGGCGCTGCTCAGTGCCCTGCGTGATGGTGGCCCTGACAAGGTCAAGACCGTGCTGCTGTCCGAGGCCAAGGAGGAGGCCAAGAAGGGGTTCGAGGTGGAGAAGGTCAAGATGCAGCAGGAGATCACCGAGCTCAAGGGCGCCAAGAGGCAGGTGGAGGAGGCGCTGACGCTGGTGATTCAGGCGGACAAGATCAAGGCCGCGGAGATCCGCAGTGTGTACCACCTACACCAGGAGGAGATCACCCGCATCAAGAAGGAGTGTGAGCGGGAGATCCGCAGGCTGGTACGTGGGCAGGCAGGGGCGGGCATGGGCGAGAGCACAGGTGTGGGCTCCGGGAGCACGCAGGTGGCACCTGGGCGGCTCTGGCTTCACCCCCCATGACATTCTCAGCACAGGCTCCTCATGCCACCCCTGTTGGTTTTGAGGACCCTAGAGTCATGAGACCACTAGAAAAGGTTCAGACCCACAGTCAGGCCCCTACAGGGCAGGCCAGACTCTCACCTCCCCTTCTCCACAAACACCAGCTCTACTTCCTTTCTTAACTTGGGCCAGAGCAAGAAACCTAGAAATCGGCGCTGCCCATTCCCACCGCAGGGTTCACGGACACCTCTTCTTAGTGTCCCGGGTTATACCTGACACCAGGCAAGCCTCAGTGTTTTGCGGCAGGAGTCCCACACGTCTTCATAGGGGAACTCAGAGGGAATTATCCAGTGATTCTCCAGTTGAACTCACTGGATCGAGAGAGACCAGGAGGCCCCGGGGGGTGCGATGGCCTCCAGCTGCCCTGAGGTCCCCGTCTCTGCGAAACCATTGCACTTGGGCTGGACCAGATGAGCTGCCGGATTTGTGGGTCAATGAGGTCTAATGTTGGCACCTATACCTGGAGCATCCTAATAGCTCCAGAGACTCGGGCACCCATAGTAGGCACCAGTAGAGTCGATATTCTCAAAGGCCTGGGGTTCAGCTGACGAGAATGTCCAGGGATTGCAAGGGACTGATTGCACCCGATGCCCCGATGCCCCTTGTCCTTTGGAGAGGAGACTGTCCTGTGATTTGAGGGGAAACGGATCTCTGTCTTAGAGGTGCGTGCCCCAGCCCTGTGCCTCTTCAGGACCCCGAGCCCCGGGCACCTTGATGGGTTGCAGTGATCTTTCCACGTGGTGTGACCGTGCACCTGGGGCAGCTTTCCTCTGCCTGCTTCCTGGGGCCTCTGGTCTCCAGGGATGGCCTCCAGGCTGGGCCAGCGTGTGGAACTCCCAGAGAGGGGCAGCCACTCTCCACGCCTACAGCCAGGAGGGGAGAACCAGCCACTGTGGAGTAAATATGACCTTGCCACGGCGTACACATGGGTGCCCCCAAATATGCCTAACCTGGGTGATCCCCTTCCTTTCCAAAGTGGTCCCTGTTCCAACCTCCCCTACACCTCTTCGCCCTGTCCCGAGCTATATATCGATGTCACCTTAGCAACCCAAGGACCTGGCCCAAGCCAGCACTCGTAAGAACTGGGTGCTTTCCTCGCATGACGCAGAGCTTGCTTTTCTGTGCAGGGAAGGAAGGAAGCATTGCCACTGTCCTGGGAAGGTGGGAGGGACAGGCGGCTGCCTCTGCCCAGTGCCACACGACCCTTTCATTTGTCGTGGTTGGATTCGATGCTCTCAGTAGAGGAAGACGGCTTTTTCCTTAAGTAAAGGCTCGTAACAGAAACCAGCAGTTCCCTGCCATCCCCTCTCACCGTACTAGAGCAGCTACTTGTAACTCCTCTGGCTGATTCTTCTGGATTTTATTTCAAATTTTTGAAAGCGTGTTCCAACCTGTGTCTTCACTCTCCATCCTCGCCTGATCTCCCCCTCCACACAGGCTTCTCTGCAGGCAGGGGCAGGCTGATCCTAAAACCGCCCCCAAAGTGCAGATGTGTCCTCCACACAGGCTTCTCTGCAGGCAGGGGCAGGCTGATCCTAAAACCGCCCCCAAAGTGCAGATGTGTCCTCCACACAGGCTTCTCTGCAGGCAGGGGCAGGCTGATCCTAAAACCGCCCCCAAAGTGCAGGTGTGTTACCTGGTCTGTGGATTATCTTTTCCCCGTGCTCAGCAGCATCGTGTTATGATCTAAGGTCTTACATTTTAAAGTAAAACAGTCTAATTTGTTTATCTTCCGCCTTAGGATTGGCACTCACTTTGTCTTGTTTAGGAAATCTTTTGATCCCAAAGTTTGGAAGCCTCATCTTTTGAACATGTTATAGTTCCATCTTCCATACTTATGTCTGTAGCAGCCCTTGCTTAAAAGACCGTCTCTCGGCTTCCCACAGCGCCTCTGCCAGCTCGCACCTGTTCTCACAAGAGTGGACTTTCTGCTGTGTCTATTGTCAGTCCCTCCTCCACCCTACTTTGTAGTAGTTATTCTAGCTTTATAAAAAGGCTTCATTTCTGGAGTAGCACGTTCTGCCACTTTGTTCGCCTTAAAGAGTAACCTGCCTCCTCTTCTTGACCCTCTAGAATTCCATATAAATTTCAGAATCATCTTTGCTCTAAATAAAAAAACTGTTGGAATTTTGGGATTTTAACCAAACTGTTCAAGGATAAATTTTAACAGAGGGTATAATCATGACTCTCATACAAACAGTGAACACATGTCAAAGATTTTATTAACTCATTACTTTCAACCAATGCAAATGAGGACTTGACCCACAGAGATTCACATTCCCTGCCTGACAAAAACCATTTGCGTTCTGATGCGCAGGAATCGTGTCCGTCTGCGCCCAGGAAATGAGCACTTTGCTCACACCCTTCTCAGAGTTTAACTGTTCTTTCCATGGAGTCGTAGAACAGCCTAATCAGAGACGAAGGCACACCCTCCTGGGGTCAGGTCGTCCCCAGGGGCTCTGGCATTCCAGTAGAAGGACAATCAGAAATCTTCTCTTGCCTATTTCAAAGTCTTATATGATCTTTTCCTATAGAATCTGTAGATTTGGGACATCTCCTTTTTTTATTGTTTCGATGCTTAAACACACATACACCCTGTCAGTGGGAAGATGGTGCTGCCCGTGAGAGGCCCCCACCACCACCATCCAGGAACTTTGGGTCTGCTTGGGTCCTGTGGAGGAGGGACTGGCTGGGGGCTCACATCCCATCCACAGCGTGACTTGCCGCTTCCCCCAGGGGTGGCTGTTGGAGCCCAGCCCAGTCCGCACAGCTGTTGGGATGCACTTCCTTCTTCTAGTCCTGACCACAGCTGCCCAGGCCTCATCAGGGACACACCTCCCATCAGTTCATCCTCAGCCCTGTTCCCAGAGCCCAGCTATCTCTCTGTCTATATCCTGGTTTTGTGCAATTTAAATAAAATAATGAAAAACCCAGGGAGTACTTGGCTCCATGCCCAGAGCACAAGAGGTGCCCTGAGGGCATCAGCTGTGGTGATGGAGCTTCTGGTGGCACCAGGAATAGCCACTGGGACACTTTCTTTCTGGGGACCCTGTCCCAGTGGGGCCCACTTGCCTAACTGACAAGGGCCCCAGGACCTCAGATCTTCTCCTTTAAGGCCATCATTTAT